GAGTGTGTTCAAGTGGGAGTGCTTGCCTGCGTGTGGATGGGCAAGCATGCGTGCAGGAGTGTGAAAAGTTTTGAGACCGCTGCTGTAGAATGTGGAGAACGGACAGGTACTACGGATGTGTATCTGCTCTGCTGCCATCTTCTTTCCACAGGGCATGAATATTTCTCTTCAAGGTGTAGTTTCAGTCTAGATCAGTGGTTCCCAACCTTGGGTAACCCCGGTGTTCTTGGACTGCAATTCCCAGAAGCCTTCGGCACCAGCTGTGCTGCCCAGGGTTTCTGGGAGTTGCAGTCCAAAACACCTGGTTTACTCTAGGTTGGGCACCACTGGTCTAGGTGAATGAGAATGAGGAACCTAGCAGAAATTACTCATACCTTGTATCTGATGTTCTTCTCCTAAATCACTGTTTTTCAAAATGATCAAGGGGAGAGTCACCTGCCTGTGCCTCTGGTTCAGCAGGCATTCCAACAGAAGCAATTTTGCAACTATCAGCTCTATTCCTAAACTCTTCTATGTGCTCCGTGAGTCCTGCTCCAGTCATCAGAATTTCAGTCATTACAGTGGGCCCTCGACTTACGAACGTAATCCGTTCTGGGAGGCCTTTCGTACCTCGGAAAGTTCGTAAGTCGACCTACCACTTCCCATTGAAATGCATGGGAACGGAATTAATCCGTTCCAGCATTTAAAAAAAAATACAAAAATAAAAATAAAAAGAGGAAGTCCCTCGTTGGGACTGCAAAACCTCTCTCTCTCTCTCTCTCTCTCTCACACACACACACACACACACACACACACACACACACACACACACACACACACACACACACACACACACACACACACACACACACAACCACAGAAACATACCCCCCCCCAGTCCACACCCACCCTCCAAAACCAACCCAGATCAAGTTTTTTTAAAAGGACTTACCAGTCCGAAGCCTGCCGCTGTTCCGCTGCCTCCACGCAGTCGGGGGCGAGCGGCCAAGTGCCCGGCCAGCTCTAGCCTCCCAGCGCTGGGTGAGCTTCGGTCGCTCCGAAGCCAAAAAGGCAGGGAGAAAGGGCGGGAAGTTCGAATTTCCTGCCCTTCCTCCCTGCCTTTGGAGCTTTCAAAG